GCCAACACTGTCCTCCAAGCTACTTATTATTTGTAGCTGATATTTTTTTCTAACGTAAGTAAATTTAGTAGGACTCATAGGAATTACAGAAATGTGATAATTCAAATAAGAGTTGTACTTTGTAATTTTATTAACCAATTACAAATGCATACAAAATGCTTAGTTCAATCACTAATTTTGCTTCTTTCTTTCTTTCTTTCTTTTTTTTTTTTTTTTTTTTTTTTTTTTTTTTTTTTTTTTTTTTTTTTTTTTTTTTTTTTTTTTTTTTTTTTTTTTTTTTTTTTGTTGTTGTTGTTGTTGTTGTTGTTGTTGCTGCTGCTTTTGAACAAGAATCAAAACATTTCATTCAATAAATGAAAAGGGACTGACTCAAATTATTGCTCGGTCAATGTCCATTTGTATGCCCCACTGCCGATAAACTATGTGTCTTACAGATGTGTGCTAATTGTTTTTCATGTTCCTTATGTGTGGATTTAGGGAGTACAACCACTTCTAAACGGAGTACTTAGTTACTTGCCTTGTCCAACTGAAGTTAGTAATTATGCATTGGACCAAATGAAGAATGAAGAGAAGGTATCGGGTCTAAAAAACTATCATGTTCTAGATATTTTCCTTCGCTGGTTTGAGGATTGAAATATTAACATTCTGCTGTATTTTAGATTATGTTGAATGGTACTCCAGATGGACGGCTTGTGGCATTAGCATTTAAGTTGGAGGAAGGTCGTTTTGGTCAGCTGACATATTTGAGGTATTCTATGTGCCATGTTCAACTTAAAAGAGCATGAGGGAAAAGATCAGAAGTCCATGATGCTCAGATTCAATTTTAGTTTAGAACCATGGACTGATGGAAGCATAATTGAAACGAAAAGAAAAGGGGAGTTGGGATAACTTATTGTTGAGTACATTATGCTTCTAGCTTAAGTGGAAAGATTATTTTATTTTTGTGCGCCTCTGTTTGGGACTAAGATATATTTTGATGAAATGGAACTTGGATATATAATTGGATGTAACATTCCTTTCTTTTCTTTCTTTTGTATTATCGCTAACTTGGTTCTATATTTGTTTTTAAAAATTTTCCAAGGTTTGCAATTAAATTAATTTGTTTGAATTTAAGTGGTATATAGATAAACAATCTCAAGTTTCAATTAGCAAAGTTTGCGTGAAGTTATTTTCTTGTTTAGTTATTGTGTATATGAATGTATATAAATACTAACACATAATTGCATTCTACATTGTACGCTTGATTACTGATGCTAAAATTTTTTTCCCCCTCCAATTAAGAATCTATGAAGGCGTCATCAAGAAGGGAGAGTTTATTGTCAATGTAAACACAGGCAAGAAGATTAAGGTTTGTTTTATGGGCAATAAAGAATCTATGAAGGCGTCAGGATTACATTTAGCGATCCTTTAAATATTTTAACTAAGATAAGAGAATGTGGTCATTTCCTTTTTTCTTCCTAAAATGGAAACCTGGTATCTATTTCTGTCTCATGAAATTTTGGATGTTCTGCAGGTTCCTCGCTTGGTCCGTTTGCATTCTGATGAGATGGAGGTTGACTTCTTTTACTTTCAGTCTAGTAATGTATAAATGAACTTTGACATTTGACATTTTTTATTGAAGCCTTCTCTTTTAGTAGTTGACCTCTAGGGTTGATTCTGGTGGTAAGAAGACGAGGGTCTTTTTCATTAGTGTATGAAGTCTTTTCATAATAAATAATAATAAGATGTGCTTCATTGTTGTATTTAAAGCTTCTCTCTCCTTCAAAGATATTTCTTTGCTTGCAGGATATTCAATCGGCACATGCTGGGCAAATAGTTGCAGTTTTTGGTGTAGACTGTGCATCAGGTGCGTCTCTTATCCATGCATAGTTCCACCAGCTGGTACTGTACCTGAGCAATCTAGTTTATATGATGAGCAGAATAACCCTGTATTGTGGATGTAATTATCTTTGAAAGACTTCAATATTTTGATCATTAGAGAAGCAATGATCCTGGAATCGATTGATATTTTACACAGGACATCATTTAAAAAAAATTGAGGGGCATTGAATTTAGTTATGTGAGGATGAGGGACAGGCGATGTTAAGTTGTTTCCTATTCAAACCTTTCATGAGATTCTACACTGTTGGGTTGTCAGGAGATACATTTACGGATGGGTCAGTTAAATACACCATGACCTCTAACCTTTCATGAGATTCTACACTGTTGGGTTGTCAGGAGATACATTTACGGATGGGTCAGTTAAATACACCATGACCTCTATGAACGTCCCTGAGCCAGTGATGTCATTGGCAGTACAACCGGTTTCAAAAGATTCTGGAGGACAGGTCAGTTGATTCCCGTGAGAATGATTGGGATCATGCTAGTATTACTCTTTAATTGAACCTTTATTTTGGACACTTTGGATAGTTCTCAAAGGCTTTGAATCGATTCCAAAAAGAGGACCCTACTTTTCGTGTTGGGTTAGACCCAGAGAGCGGGCAGGTACCTTACAATTTCTTATTTCTAGAATTTTTTATGTACTCTTCATACATATCATAATGCATGCTTAAACTATTTCTTTGAGCAGACAATAATTTCAGGAATGGGAGAGTTGCATTTGGATATTTATGTTGAGCGCATTAGGAGAGAGTACAAGGTTTCCTACATGCTCTTATTTATTCTTTAAGATGTCTTGGTTTTATGTCATCAGAAACAAAAGGATTCCTTGTTTATATTTGGAATTAAAAATCTAAATATAATATATTTTTCGGGTGGACGTGTTCCATAGGTTGACGCAACTGTTGGCAAACCTCGTGTGAACTTCAGAGAGACTGTCACTCAGCGTGCTGAATTTGATTATTTACATAAAAAACAGACAGGAGGCCAAGGCCAGTATGGACGAGTATGTGGGTAAGTTCCTGCTTCGTGTCTTCGAGTATTAATTGAAGTATACTGTATAACAAGAGTTGCAATTCTCCCGGTATATACCGAAGAAAAAAAAAGATACTAGTCTTATATAAGTTCGGAAAACAATTTTTTGGAAGCACGTCAAAACTATTCTTATATATTATATGTTATTTGAGTGCAATGACACTGGAATTTAACACCACTTTTGTTTGTAATCTATATTTGCAGATATATTGAACCACTTCCTCAAGGATCACCAACTAAGTTTGAGTTTGAGAATATAATTGTCGGACAAGCTATACCATCAAATTTTATCCCTGCAATTGAGAAGGGCTTTAGGGAAGCCGCCAACTCGTATGTGTATTCCTGTTCTAAAATTTTTGGAGGAATATGTTATTGTATCTGTCTTTCAAATCTGATTGAATGGATCACTTATTTACAACATCTTACATTTGAATTCTTTAAATGCTTGGCTCAGCGGCTCATTAATTGGTCATCCTGTCGAGAACCTTCGTGTTGTACTGACTGATGGTGCTTCCCATGCTGTTGATTCCAGCGAACTTGCCTTTAAGTTAGCTGCAATATATGCATTTAGACAGGTACATCTCTTTATCCCATGTTTTTATTCAGAGGGCAGCTCCCTAATTTGGGACTTGCTATCCTTGAGTGATTATAGTTATTTATACTATAGATATTCTCAGCCCCCCACCATAGGATTAAAAAAGTCCACCTCAAAATATCTTTAATTAATTTTTTTTTTTCTATGCCAGTGTTACACAGCTGCAAGACCGGTGATATTGGAGCCTGTCATGCTGGTGGAAGTAAAAGTACCTACAGAATTTCAGGGCACTGTTGGTGGTGATATCAACAAGTGAGTGGTTTATTGTTTCTACCCGAGAAGTCCAGGTTCTTTACTCTTTCTTCTACTTTTCTGAAAGCATTTGTCCCTCTTTGCTATGTCAGGCGAAAAGGTGTTATTGTTGGAAATGACCAGGATGGAGATGATTCTGTAATTACTGCAAATGTACGTAACTTTTCTTTTATGTTTGTGCATCGTTTCATGGCAATCTTATCATTGATCGGAGTTACCTGATTTGTGTAATTTTTGGTTGTTTTTCTTTGCAAAACTTCTCTTGCATGTCAAACTCTTGTGTGTTGTGAATATTTGTGGCTATCTATATCTAAGTAGGGAGTAAATCATATCATTGTTCTTTACCATTCATGGGCTCTTATTGGGGGTGCTTCACACAAGTTCTTTTGTAATATCATCAACTTAGATCGGAGGGCATTTACATCCCTTTGTCACTTACGTTGTTATGGTTGATGCCTTTTGGAAATTTGCTTTTGATCGGCTCAGTTTCCTCTAAAATTTTCAAAGAACCTCTGTTCAGTTTTATTTCTCTGTACGGTCCTCTTATCTTGAAGGAAACGAAAAGCTTTATTATTTCCTTCTCATGTTATTGTTATATTCAAAATCATTCATGCAGGTTCCATTAAATAATATGTTTGGGTACTCGACATCTCTTCGTTCGATGACTCAGGTTTGTCGTGTAAATGTTTTTGGTAGACGGATTCAAACTGTATTCATATCCTAAACATCAGTCAAAATTTGAACAACGATTTTCAGGGTAAAGGAGAGTTCACCATGGAGTACAAAGAGCATTTACCAGTTTCTAATGATGTCCAGATGCAATTAGTGAGCAACTACAAAGGCAGCAAACCAGTTGAGTAGAGTAGTTGCCTGCATGTTTATGTAGACAAAATATATGAGGTGTCTTCCCTCTTCTTAATTTATAATTACCGTTATTGTTTGTCTGGTGATAGGCAATAGATTTTGGAAACAACCAAATAGAATAATGACCTTTGGTGGTAATGGCATACAGCTTGGCTTATAACACTTTTGTATTTAGTTTCCTAAGTAATATAATTTCTAGAAAAATTATATTCACCTCTGTTCTGTTCTTAATTCATCTGACAATTTTGTTACTTAAAAACTCTTAATTTTATCGGATTGACTCGTTTATTTTAAGGATTAACAGGAAACTTTTTCCAAGATTTAAGAGTAAAAACTCACAAAACAGACTAATATTTTACATAATTAATAACAAGAATGAGAATAAAGAAAATAATTCAGGTTCTATGTCATTCCCTATTCTCTCTAAAAGTCATAAAAGACTGTCCTTTAAGTGAAAAATGACATGTTTGTATTGTGAGAATGACAAAATCACCTCCTAAGCTGCAATGGTATTTTGAAACCCAAGCAATACGTTTCAAAGCAAAGGACAGAACCTCTGTGCAGCCTTTATGTTAATTGTTCGGCTGTCCAACAACTCATCGGGAACGAATTATTAAATTAAATCTGAAGACAAGCTAATGTTTATCAGAGAGGAACCTAAAGCAACATGTACACCGTTCTAAGGAATGGCTTAGGGAAAAGAATCAGGCAGTTCTTTAGACACCCTTATTGTAGGAGATTGTTGTTCAACTCCCAAATGCACCTCTACGAAATCGGATGTCGTCTCCTGTATGTACAATTTCAGAAAAATTTAGAACCGTCGTACCGTACGTATGTACTGTCATCTCCAACAATTTGCAGCCTTAGCTTGAACGGGTAAATACTACTAAATAACTATTTGGTTAGATTACCAATTTGGTCGTTCATAGACTGCATAAGTGCCTTTCTAATCTTGTACTCCGAAAAGTTTTCTAAATACTCTGTCTAAAGTAGTTTCCAATAGGCCATTGAAGTGCCAATTTAAAATTGAATGGACTCCTGATGATAAGTAGCACTTCTATTATTTAAGGATTTTGTAGTAAGCTAATCTCAAACAAAATTAGGCAGTGATATAATGATGAACTAAAGAAATTAATGATGGGTCTATTAAACACAAATTGAAACCTCAAGAACCTACTCGAATCTCTTCAAAGTATAGGATCTAAACGACAAGACCTTCAATATCCATGGACATATAAAAAAACATTTTAAACTACATGAAATAAATACAATCCTAACCCTAATATTCAAGGTGACATATTACCTCTTTGGACGACTTCGATCTTCCTCATAGTCCATTACTCCACCAGGTTCAGAGTAGACCTCCTCATGCCCTCGGATGTCAATGTCGGCCTGCTTACAGTTTGTAACTTCTGCCATAATGTAAGGCACATCGACCAATATATCCCAGTATTTGAGTAAAGAGTCACTGGTTTTATTTCGATCTTTTAGCCACTATGAACCAGAGGTTATAGGATATGGTGTAGATGTAATTAATCACATCTTGAAAATTTGACTTGCTTGTACAACAACAATGCCAATTTTGTGCCAGTATCATTTTTCCATTCAAAAAAGAGAGCACAAAAATAAATTTCGTTCTTTTATATCAAGAAGGCCTCACATCTTTGTAATGAATAAAAATTCAGTGAGTAAATGAGAACATTATTTGATAACCATTTCGTCTCTAATACAAACATCAAATTAAGAAGACTCGGGACAGTAGGGATTTGAAATTAAAATTTGCACTTTCATAATCCAAAACAATATTTCAGCAGAAAAATAGTAGTAGGTGACAGTGGAAATAAGAAAAGGAGTATGCGTGAAGGTCTGTATAATCATTTTCTTTTTCTGCTAGTACTTCATCCATCCTATCCTTGTCTATTATCTTCTCAATAAATATTGGATTCTATAAAAAGAAAAAGCATTCAACCACCAACAGCAATTAAGACGAAACTTATTTCAACTGACCTTCGAGGAAAGTGACTTCTTTACATCTTCCACCCTCTCTTCAACTTCCTTTCGGTGTTTCTTGTTTAATCCACACATATTATCAGCCCATTTTATCTTCTCTTGAATTGAGACCGATAAATTGTCAGACGTAGTTAACCTAGATACACACAGAAACGGTCAAATTCGAAACAGATGTGTCACACAACCAAATACAGACAACAAGAGACGGGTGATAAAATCAACTCAACTCAATAAAAGTATATTGATTAAACACACACACACACACACACAGAACTATGAAATTTTGAAAATAGAAATTATTAAAAAATTGTCAAGGAAGTTGCAAAATACAGTAAAACACTTGAACCTTGAGGTTGCAAAAGAACTAGAATCTCAGCAATTTAGATTAAAACTTGGTAAGGTCACAATTGATCATCCCTTGCATATACAAAACAACTTCTTGCTCAAGAGTTTTCCTTAAAACGGAACGGGACCCCATGAAACATGAGCAAGTAAATTTACCAATTTGATAGTGTTTGTATCATGCTCCCAAGTTGCTCAGGTTTCAGATCTCTCCCTGCAGCAAACTGGACCTGCATTCATATAAGGACTTCAATTGACACCATTTATAAAGCCCATATACTTAGAGCAGGGATACAAAAACAAATACAGACCTCAAAGCACCTTCGCAACTGATCTAACTTGCCTCTGACTATACCCTGAAAGCAAATAAGAAAATTCAAGGGCATTGCTTATCCTCCCACCCGAAAAAATGAGTAAACAAATCAATAAATTAAAAATTAAAAATTTTAGCTCAGTGTGATAAATTTTTTTTTTTTGTCTTATATTTTTAAAAATTTAGCTCATAAACACTAATTGCTCCCATTGTTTTCTTGTTTCATTACCTAATTTTTAAAAAAGTTTTAAACAACCAAGCCAATTTTTTAAAAATTTGATGTTGTTTTTTAAATTTTGCTTAGAATTCCAATGCGTTTGAATGTGTTTGAAGAGAAATGAAAAACTTACCAAAAAATTACGAGTAAACCAACATAATTTTCAAAAATAGAAGACAAATCAAACGGGGTTCTTAATGTTTAGCAGACCAGCAGTGGAAGATAAGAAGAAAGTTGATTGAGCACATGCATGGGTAAGGTTCAAGGATTTCTTTTCCAGATACTGACATCCTAATACTGGTAAGAAGAACCAATTAAGTCCGGATTGGTACTGATATCATAGTGGTAAGATACTGACATCCTAATACTGGTAAGACGTACATATTGTAGGACATACCGCATACATGCATTCATTAATAAGAAAATCCTCCAGTTCTCGTACATTTGTAACATCTAATTCCTGCATTAATTGGTCATAGGGTAGCACCTGGGCAAAACCGAGTCAGAATAAATAAATAATTTAATGATGAATGTCAGGAATCTACACATCATCTACTAAAAGCTTTTGTAAGAAAACCTATGAGAAATGAAACAATATTTTTTATACACTAAGAGTTGGCTGCCAAAGAAAGTCCGAGAGGAAGCAGGAATTTCTTTAGAAACCATCCGGATGCATGTTTCTCAGAACAGAGATTAACAAACCTTAAACAAAGACCACGTTCCTTTTCTTTTCTTTACCTCATAGTTCATAATGCTATATTTTATAAATCAAATATTTATTGTTGCTCATAATATAGTACACCACACTTCACTGATGCTCATGCTTAGGCTTGGAAGAGCTATGAACCCCCTAAAATTATTATTTTTATAACAATTAGTTCTAAGAACTTCAAAAAAAAAAAAAAAAAAAAAAAACCAAATGAACGTTTTCTTCAAAACCTTTTAAACTACAAGAATTCAATGTACCCACACATTAGTGCACTACTAAATCTAGCTAAATGGTTCATTATCTGGGAATCAATTATAGGCCACATGAACAATAGTTTTTAATATCAATTCCAACCCGTAGTTAGATATGCAGCGGTGAGACAGAACAGAAAGGCGAACTATTTTAAATCAACAGATGCATCAGCAAGCGGGTTAAAGAAACATGACAGAGTGGGGAGCAAGAATACCTTGTTAGTCTCAGCCAATGTAAGGACAGTAAGTTGCTTTAGTTTGAGGGCTTGATCAGATCCCAATTCTGGAAGGCGGCCAGAATTACCTGCAAATGTAATATAGCCAGCGTTCAGTGCAGTCATCAAGAGCACACGCTATAACAATGCAACTAAAGAAAATTAATCGATGGTGGCAAGGTTATTAAGTTATGAAACACGATGCACTTTTTGAAATATTGCAACAAATTAGTACCTGAAGAAATTAATAGACAAAAAGAAGGTTATATAGGTTATGGTTCATAATGCACTTTTTTGGGAAACAAAACTTATAACTAGACTCCAAATTCTGCCTATCTCCCCTCTCTTTCTCTTTTTTTCTTTTTTTTTTTTTTTAGAAACAAGTACTTTCTTTGGGGGGGGAGAACAAAGAATACAAGGTGCTTGCAAAAGAAAACCAGCCCCCAAAAGGAGCCTACAGAAAGGGTTCCAGTCAAGCAAGAAAAGACATAGACATAAAGGATAATGTCACCAACTTCATTAAGAACATTTGATTGTCAAGTTGGGTGTGCAAGTTCTTAGCAATACAAAATGACATAAATAAGTAAAATGACACCAACTTGTATTTAAAATAAAGGTCTTTCAGCAAACTAGCAATAACATTCAAATTATATCACAAATCTTTATGAAATTTTAACTCTTACTCGTGTAATCACTCCATGTTCCATATGCAAATAAGCGAAGCACATCAAGGTATACAGAATGCTCAGTTCCTTCTAGCTGCAAAAGGTAGAACATCAAACAATATAATTTCATTTTACAATTTGAAGGAGTTAAAACAATCCATAAAGAACTTCTGATTGACATGACCACTCTAATCAGCCAAAGGGCATATTATCAATGGATTGTTTCAATTAAAAATAAAAAAGTAACAAATAAAAACAAGAATCATATTTAAAAACAAAATTAAAATTATTTTAAAAAGAAACACATCAAAATCAAGAATTTTTTTAATTCACTTCTAACTTTCTTCCCAATCAAAAAAGTCAAGAATTACAGAGAAAAATGAAAACTCAATAAATAATTCGCACAAGATAAGCAGTCAAACGGTAGACAGAAAAAACCAAGAGTAATCGGCATTATCGAACCTCGACAACGTCGGGAACAGCAAGAATTTCAGAGAATGCAAAGAGTGAAGGGTGAGAAGTGGCCTCAGTAACAACAGACGCAAGTGCCGAGCCTTTCAGAGACGAAGCTCGCTTTACAAAGTGATCGATAAACTCGTTTTGCTTCTGCTCAATATCCATTATAGAGCAAATAAAAAATCTACAAAAAATAATGATGAAACAGATACAAATGGAAGGGAGACTGAAATCAGGGCGCAATCCAAAGGGATCGAATCATGGAGATCATGAATATGAGTGGAAACAGCAAGAAATCTGGCGAAGAAGCTTCGGAATTTAGAAGTGTCGAGGCTTGGCTAAGGGTTCTTCAGAGCGTACTGAGTCTGAGAGTCGATCACACAGCACCACACCCAAGAGCCGTTCCCTCCACCGCAATCACCGGTAATGTAAGCAGTCAAAAGTAACGAAGTGAAATTACCTACGTGCCCCCATTGCATTGTTTAGTTTTTCCAAATAAAAGACTTTTTTTTTTTTTTTAATAATTAAATTTTATTATTTATTTTTTTCGTGTAAAAGTATAAATAACTCTCCCTCGTCAGCTCTCCACTTCTAATCCTCCTGATTCACGTGGCATCGACATATCATGAGAGGCCGAAACGTACAAGCCGCCTCTTCTGCTTCCTCTTCTTCAATTTTCTCCCATTTTTGGGCTTCAGCATTGAGAACTAAGCCATTGATTTCCCCTTCCGATGGCTTCTACAACCGTACCAACTCCGGCGAAGTCCTCGAACGCCGTCTCGGCGTCGTTGACCTCGTTCTCCTTGGCGTTGGCGCTTCCATCGGAGCCGGCATCTTCGTCGTCACCGGTACTGTCGCTCGTGACGCCGGTCCTGGTGAGTTAATACTGTTCTTTTATTCATCTCGCGTTTATTTATGGTTACCTGAATGATTAGTCCTGTGTGCGCTAATGGTTTCCGGCCATTACAATTGTTCGACCTGGCGCAGTATGTGTTTGTTTTGTATTCGGTTTTTCGATTTTCGTTTTCGTTGTTTTCTAAGCGTTAATTTGTGTAGCGGAATTTCCGAGATTCTAATTGTTTCTAATTGGTTTATTCAACAAATGCTCAATTTCATAGGTGGACGTGGACCTCATATCTTGTTTCGTAGGTTTTTAACTAAATTTTAGTTTATTTCTTCTTATTATTCACGATACTGTAGGGGTGTAGATGTGATCATAATTTCTTGTATTGCAAAGCAACACCTGTGGACTATTTGTCTTGCTCGCGAACGTCTTTATTTTGTACGAGGAGACTTTTACAAGCCTTTTATTTTGATGCAGGAGTCACCGTTAGTTTCGGACTCGCTGGAGTATCATGTATTTTAAATGCACTGTGCTATGCTGAGCTAGCTACACGCTTTCCTCCTGTTGTGGGCGGTGCATACATGTATGCATATACAGCATTCAATGAGCTCACTGCTTTTCTTGTTTTTGCACAATTGATGCTTGACTACCATATTGGGGCAGCTAGTATAGCACGGAGCTTAGCTGGTTATATAGTTTCATTTCTCGAGATCTTTCCCCTTTTTAAAGATAATATTCCAAATTGGCTTGGAAATGGGCAAGAGTTCTTCGGAGGGGTTGTTTCTATTAATGTACTGGCTCCCGTTCTTCTAGCTCTATTGACCTTTATTCTCTGTTGGGGTGTTGGGGAGTCTTCTACTATAAACTCCATCATGACATCATTAAAGGTATTCTTCTATTCGACCTATTTATGTATTTGAATATGATAGTTCGAATTCTCATTATTTGACAATGTACACAATACTTGTTGTAGGAGAAAAGGCAAGAAAAGATTAAGGAAAAAAAGAAATGAAACTAATTACAATATGACAACTTGGTGATCTTTTGGTCTTTGTGAGTCTTGTTGATACTTGGCGAGGGAATTTAATGTTGTTAGGCTTGTGGCATAGAGAATTTTTTCAAGAGACACCATTATTAGATTTGTTAGAGCTTTTCATAGTTTTATGTTATATCGTGAATCTAATATGTTTCTTGTAGGTTAGGTAGGTTTATGATTTCAATAGGTTGGATGGACCATTTTGGAAATGTTAGATTGTTTGCATGTATGGACAGGAGACACCTCTGACTATTAGCCCATAAGTTTCGCAAGTTCGTTCTTTGGAGACATCACTTGGGGACCTTGCCCTTTTAAGTTTGAAAGCATTTGGCTCCACATCCTTCTTTCAATTCTCATTTGAGGGATTGGTAGCCTTGGAATGTAGATGGAAAGTGAGAGGACATTGAAATCCTTACGAACCTCAAGCCCGAACATGTTGCTCGAGGACCTTGTCCCCTTTTTTAGTTAAAAAAATATGTGGCTTCAACATCTCCTTTCAAATCTTGAGATATTTGTGGAATGGAATGTTGAAGAGAAGTGGTAGACTTTGGTATTCATTGAAAGACTTAAGGCTTGCACACTCAAACTAAATGATTGAAACGTGAGGGTGTTTAGGGTCCCTCAAAATTGGAAGCTGGGTATGAATTTGAAAATCAAAGTGATGTGAGCAAACATAATGAATGACACAAATATCTTGATGCTGCTTAATGGGCGTAGTTTGGTTGCTTTGTCTTGTCGGCAGTTTTTTGTGGTCTAGAATGGGTCATGTTGCTCTTTGTGCTCCATTTTCCAAGTCTTTTAAGGGGTTTTCTTTTTAGTTCAGTTGTTTATATGTTTTTCCTGGGTTGCTTTTATTTCCTATGTTCTGTTTTTTTTTTTTTTTTCCTTGTTTCACTCCCTTGTGGAGTTTGTATCGTCTGAGCATTATTCTCGTTTCATTTTATTATCAATGAAAGGTTTTGTCTCTTGTTAAAAAAATCAATGACTAGAAAAAGGTTTGATGAGAATGAAAAATATATGTAATGAACGTTTGAAGTTGAACTTGTCTGCAGGTTATCATTGTCGTGTGTGTCATCTTTGCTGGTGCTTTTGAGGTTGATGTTTCAAATTGGTCTCCTTTTTCTCCAAATGGTCTCCAATCAGTGTTAACTGGAGCTACTGTAGTATTCTTCGCATATGTAGGCTTTGATGCAGTTGCAAATTCAGCCGAAGAATCAAAAAGTCCGAGGGTATTAAACTAAGTTGCTTCCCTTTATGTTTGAGTACCATGATTCAATCAATTTTGTAACTTCAAATAGTAGCATAACTTCGTAAGTTTTAAAGCAACTGACTTTTCCTTTTTAATATTGTTCCGTTCAGAGGGATTTACCAATTGGCATAATCGGAAGTCTTCTTATTTGCATTGCTCTATATATTGGAGTCTGCTTAGTGATTACTGGAATGGTTCCTTATTATCTTCTTGGGGAAGATGCTCCCTTGGCTGAAGCTTTTACATCCAAAGGCTTGAAATTTGTTTCTTTTTTGATAAGCGTTGGTGCTATTGCTGGACTTACAACGACCCTTCTTGTTGGTCTTTATGTTCAGGTGATTTATTTCAGACTCAATAACTATTTGCGTTTACTTCACATTTTGTATTTATGTCAATTGATGGGGTGTGCAAAACAGTCTCGTCTATATCTTGGGCTTGGGAGAGATGGTTTGCTGCCTTCTTTTTTTTCCGAAGTGGACGCCAAACACCACACTCCTATCACTTCTCAAGTCTGGGTTGGTATTGTAGCTGGCGTGTTGGCTGGACTATTCAATATTCACTCACTCTCTCGTATTCTTTCAGTTGGCACCTTGGTATGTTGGCTTATCTTTGTTTCTAAGTTCGTATTGTTAATTAGCCTTTTATGCAACACTTGAGCTCCATTTGTTGCTGTTGGGTTCAGACTGGATACTCTGTTGTCTCGGCTTGTGTTGTCACCCTGCGTTGGAAAGACAAAACAGCCAGTCAGGTGTCTTCTTCAACCTGGCGAGAAGGTGTCATCTGTCTTGTGGTAGTTGCTTGCTGTGGTTTTGGTGCTGGATTATTCTACCGGGTTGGTTGGCCATGGGTTTCTATTGTAGCTGCTGTTTTTGCATTACTTGCAGCCATCGCTCTTCATTTTCGCCATGTGAGTACAATTATCTTTTTAGCTCTAGCTTTGATAATAGGCACAAAGAAAAAATTCTCTCGTTTTCTTATTTTCTCTTGAAGAGTATTCAGCTTTCTTGTAGACATGGAAATTGGTAAGAGATGTTTATTTTATAGAGAAAAACTACTAATCGTACGATTGGAAATTTCAGTATGAAAGGATTTGAAACTTGATTATTTGAATAATATTTTAATCAATGAACCATTTTTCTAATTGATCAAAGTGTGAACTACTTCTTCTAATTCCGATCTTTGTGATCTTCGTTGATCCTAATCTTTTCTTGATAGGGTCTTTTGATTACATTTCTTCACTTAATTTTGTCCACCTTCATTTGTCAAATGCAATACTAAATTGATCTTATTCGAAGGGTATTTTCCATTCGGATGATACACGTTAGGATAACAATTGTGAACGTTGTCTTTCTTCTACTGTTGCTTAAAGTTTATCCATGATTTGGCTCTAACTACATTCATGACTGAAACTCAACTAGTTTACTATACATATCGGCTACCTTTCCCGAGAATAAAATTGGGGTATTTGCAATATCTTTTTTGTTTCTATACTTCTGGTATGCTAGCTTTTGATCTGGTAGTTACTGTTGCAAGTGTTGGGAAGCTCTATTCTGAGAATTTGTAGAAATGCGCTAGGTTTCATTTTTCTACTTCTATAACTCATTTTTCACTGCCCTTTTTCTCAGATCCATGGGGATGTGCCAGGATTTCCCTGTCCTGGAGTTCCCTTTGTGCCGGCTCTTTGCATATTCTTCAACATGTTCCTATTTGCTCAGGTACAACCATCTATACACCTTACATCACGACATGCTAATGGTGCAAATTATTTCGTTGTTTAAAATTTTTCTTTAGTTCCTAAATTTTACACGAAAATACCTTTTTATTAGAAGCTTACTATAGTTATGCCTTTTGTTCATTTACATATTTTGTTAATGTCTGCGGTGTGAACTTTTTGAATCCACATGTAGCATATCAAGTGTTGGGTTTAAAATAGATTTGAACTAGTGTTAGACGGTCAACGAAAAATTTTAAGGAAACGTAGAGACTATAAAGAAGAAAATATAACGGTTGAAGTATGGCTGAGCTAGTTAGTTGACCAACATTCTTTATTTATTTTTTATTTTTATTTTTATTTTTTTTGCAGTTGCACCAAGAAGCATGGGTTAGATTTGTGGTGGTCAGTATTATTACAGTAATCGTTTATGCATTTTACGGGCAGTTTCACGCTAATCCAGAAGGTTCGGGGGTTTATTTTCGGGTTCAAGGATAGAAGCTTAATTGTTTTAATAAATGTTGTAGTCATATCATGTGTCGTATAGTAGAATGATATTTGTCTGCTCATCAAACACTTTGTACCAGTGTAGTACCCGTAGCAGTACAATGGCTAAATGGTCTCGCTGTAGAGTATATTGTTACATTATAGTGTATTTTATGGAAATAAAATATGACAATTCTTGATGCATGAAAGTAAAGGTAACACTAATAAAATCAAATTACAATATAGCAGAAGGGCTTTGTTCTTAATAGAACAGTAGTGAATTCTTGAATACCCTATTTGCTATTTCACTTGGTGTAAAGATAGGTTCGTATAGATTGTGCGACCCTAGTAGAAGGGTTCTAAGAATATTTATTGTCGTGAAAACCTTTGTCTTTGTCTTGTAGGTAAGTTCGATGTAGGAAAACTAATTCCTCATTTGAAATTTGATCCATTCCACAAGAAAGTATGAACAAAACCTCCTTAAAAGATTCATGACATGCGAACTTAAACTACGTTTGAAAAGGAAAGCTTCGTATTTTAGGATCACGGACAATGTCTCTTGTTTGAGATTCTATGTTGAGTCTTAGTTCAAGCTTTTCAACGTCAACTTAAACTTTGAGCAGCATCAACCTACCTTAAGCTTGAGTTTGCTTTTGAGTTCAACTTGCTGACAATAAAACCCTAATGTAAACCAAACGAACCAATCATAATGTAAATATATATATATATTGGTTCAAGAACTGGATGATTATAAAGAGGTGATTGGTTCAAGAATTGTAAACCAAACTCACAAGCACCTCTTAATAATCATGGTGCAACTACCTCTACCAAGAGCCAAATGTAAACCAATCAATGACTCTAAAGGAGCAAATTGGGACCTTGTAGCAAAGGTACTAGACTTGTTAGCCTGTCGGACTGCATCCATACCCTTACCATTAGTATGAATTCATCAATGGGGAAACCCACTAGTCTTGGAACTTCATTATCAGTAGACGCAAAAGCATACTTCCCAACACAAAAGCCGGGATTGAAATAACCTTCATTACTCTGTGTGAATCCAAAAGATTTATGTTTCAAATGAGTTGTTATAGAGAGGAGAAGAAAATAGCCGGCTTAAAGTTCTTACACAAAGAATATTTACTCTCGTACTAATGTTGTCTAACACAGCCAAAAAGGTGTCTTCGTTAATGGGTAGTTTTTCCCACACAAGTACACTGTTTAAATAATTTTCAGACTGAACTCGGAATTTTACTACACAGGAAACCATGGTCGAAATGTTATACTTCAAAACTGTGGCCAGAAAAGGATATAACTCTGGAGATATGCAATTTGACCATATCCCTTATCCCAATGTATACAATGCTTCAAAGTTCATCCCAAACACGTCGTTCCTGCGGATCTGCAACTCTGTGAATTAAATCCTCGTTGGCTTGAACTGGATTCCTACCACCATCTCTAGGAATGTGGTTTGCTTGCTTGACCATCCCAGCTTTGATGGCAGCAGTGGCCATCCTCTGCAACTTCAGTAGCCCAATACGTTTCGAGACGACATAAAGAACAGCAAGAGAGAAAAAGAAAAATCCGACTGCCAGAATGATCCTGTCATTTTAAGATTTTTTTATCATATAAGGAGGTTGAATAACAAATTTAGTTTTAAAACTTCGATGAATATGTCAATATAGCATCTAAAGTTTCACTTATAGTTCTTACTATTTAGACTTTTATCTGAATGTAAATGTTGGCTATAGTAAGAGAAATAGAGAGACATAGACATTTGGATAAAAATATAGTGGCGCTAATCTCTATTTGAAGCAATGTATCAAATCATATTTTCTAGATTATCATTCTATTTTATAGTCAATTTCTTCTATATATCCATCATGTTGTACAGAACAACATCTGTCTCTACTCAGACATGTTACATCACTACTTAACCAACACTGTTAACAATAAAGACGATATAGAATCGAAATTCAAAATTCAGAAAATAATTAAAGCTTTTTAAAAGTATGGACTAAATCGATATAATCATCATAGTTAAAATAAACTTGATTTGTAATTTAACCTATGAAAGAACTTTTACTTAGAGAGGTGGCAAGTAATCATCTATTTACCTGTCCATTACATCTTGCCGTTGCATTGTGGAAAGTAAGTTTCTGGTTCGTGTTAACAACGAGCGGTGTCCCTTATATTCACTCTCAGCCTTCTTTAACACTCCAGTCGATTCGTCTGTAAAAGCCAAATAAACATGTAAAGTAAGCTCTACTTGTTGACCCATCTACTGGTGCTTGATCATATGATTTAAAAAAAAAAAAATCCAGTCTAAAATAAGAACTCATGACAGCTTAAAAATGTCGCATCATTGAGGACTATCTTTTAAATCCCCTGTTTTGGTGCTCTACATACGATAATCCTCGTCGTGCTATAATGGAAGAGGTTCTTATGAATCCCCATTACGTGATAGACGACAACTCTTCGGCAAGGCATAATCCTTACCGCTATTTGCTTCATTGGGCTTGAAAGGAAAGCAAGATCTAGCTTAGTATTTGAGGAGTCCTGGAAAAGGATTTGGAGCTTGGTATATATTTCGATTCTTTGCTTTGAGTTGTTATGACTCGAACTCTATCCATTTCCTTTTTTTTTCTTGGTAATGGGAACCAATATTTTGTAGTTCATCCCTTCCCTGAGCCTATGTTTTTGTATGCTCTTGTCTTTGTACCTATACTTATTTGAATGAAAGCTAAGGCTTTTCATCACCCAAAGAAAAGTAACAAAAAGTAGTTCGATCTCATACTGCGAGAATCTCTGAACTGTAGGTAGACAAGAAGGGGAATCCTTTGCAGCTATATGACAAATGAATGCATTCCTAAATTATCAGACATTGAATTCAAGACATCATGGTCATAATTTCGCTTGCATACACATCATAAATTTCTAAACTATGCTTACATAACTAGTCCTAGACTAAGCAAACAGCAGAACATTCGGATTTAATCTGGGTTTCAGATGGTCGAGTCCACGTAACAAATGACTGAAAAGACTACAGATTCAAATTGCCTCATTCATTTCCTTATCATTTCCCTCGGATCAAGATGACTAATCTAGTTCTAGATCACTAGATGAGATGGTTATTACTCACATCAAATGCTAAACAAAGATCTTCATACATAAATAAACACTAAATTATGTCTTAGTTTCCAGTTTGTCAACTGAGGGAATGAATAAAATCTACAACTGTAGAATTTCCTTTTTATTGCTTAGCTTAAGATATGATCATGGCTGTCACTGCTATACATGGTTTACATCATATTCTTACAAGTTCATTTGCTTTGTAATCTCTACCATCAAGATATAATTGAACACACTGAACAAAGTAAAACTGACTAATCGACTCGAAACGGAACACGAATGACATACGCAGATTTTCATAAACATACCAAAAGTCTCAATTGTGCTTGCAGTTCTTTCCACCTCCTACAGATAATAAGATATACAAGAACATTCCATTGTTAAAAGAAAGAAAATTTAAAATTCAATCAAGATCAAAGTAAATAGAACAGAAAACACCAGAAACAGACCTGAACCATAAGCTGACGGGTTCGGCGAAGGCTCTCGGTGATGCTTTCTGCAGCAGATGTCATACCAGCCTTAGTTCTGCAAAAGGAGAGAAACAATGAAGTTTAATACGACAGTTCTATTAGAGTTGTTTTAAGAAACAATTAGATAAAACTTCTGAAAACGTTCAAGTTTTGACAACATACTGTAAATTCCGTCTGCGAATTGTGGACTCTTCTCCTCCACCAAGAAGTTGTTCTCTCTGCAAATTCACCAAAATTCTGAGCACACTGTAAATTTTCACTTTGAAGAAGTAATGGAATCTTATATAAATCTTCACATTTAGGAAATCATGGAGAAATACCGCATTTGATCATTAAGAAAACTAGGGCTAATCAGAAACTGTTCATCACAATTTAACAAAACCAGTTCGAATTAATCACCTCCTCTTGAGCTGCTTTTCTCATGTTGGCTTTTGCTTGCATATTGGCATTTCTCAGACTCGACCGCAAACTGAAACAAATACACACGAAGTTGCAAAAACAAAACTCATTACAACGAAGTTGACAATTACCGATCACTTTCATAGCCGAAGAATTACAGAAAGGAGCGATTCCAGTAATCCCACTCCTCTTCCGCAGGAATCAGAAAGTAGGAGTTAGATTCGTTACTTGTGGGATTGGTTTTTCCAAGATTCGAGCAGAGATTGAGCAGCCTCGACTTCAGAATCAGAGAGCAGTTGAGGCACAAGAAGATCGAGCTTGAATTCCAACGACGACAGCAGATTCAAACCATCTTGAGCCAAAGCATTCAATCTCGGGAGAGAATTCGTGTCCGTTGATCCACTTTGTTTCTTGTATGATTCGATTGCCTTAATCCGGTCGAGAGTCTGATGGAAAGCGTCGTTCCACTCATTTTTGACCCGATCGACCTCCTCTGCAACCTTGTCCATTTCAAGATGTGAAGGAAAATCACCGAAATCACAGAAATTTGGTCTTCGGTAGCCCAGAATTCAGAATGAAAACAATCTATGAGATAGATTTGATCCTTCGAGGCTTTAGAATAGAAGATTACTGAAGAATGCCGCTACACCGTGATTGTTTCAAATAATAATTTGATATAAATAAATAAAAATAAAAATAAATTTTGATCCAATATATATATATATATACTTTTAAGAAGTAATATTTTTATCTAAAATTAGAAAAATAATTTAAGAATTAATAAATATTCTAGATATAATATGCCTTTATATTATCATTTTCGGAAGGAAAATTTAATCTATTTTAATTTAAAAATTTAGGAACGGAAGTCTGAAAATTTCTTCTTAGTAGATCCATTTTAAAAATTTTGAGTAGCAGTTCGAAAAAAAAATTCAAAAATGACAATATTTGCTACCAGTGGGTTTGGAATGTTACTGAAGAGTGTCAATACAAATATTCTTTCAATACTAACATAACTCAATGCATAAGATACCAATTATCTTTTCGAACAGAGAGATAGGAACTGGGATCGCAACTTTCAATATATTTTAAAAAAAAACAAAAAAATGATAATATCGTACCGTCCAAATTACATATTTAACCTTGAATGTATAAAGGGCTTAGAAGGCCATTTTAAGAGTAAAAGCCTTGGTGAATCAACTGAAATGGCTGCTGCTTGCGCTGCTGAATGACCCCCATCCTCCTCTCAATCTTTTATCTGCTGAAGCCATCCTCTGAAGATGTATTTGCTCCCTAAACTTGGCTATGAACTCGCCAGCTTTCTTGTCGACCTCGTGCGCCCCCGATTCCGAATCTCCCGCCATACTCGAAGCAGCTTCTTCATCTGAATTTCCAAAAATAGTTTCATCCTCCCTCTCAGACTGGTCTTTACCATCATCTGTGAGTTGACTCTCAGTGTCTTCCTTCTGCTTCTCAATCCCCAAGAATGTCGTCTTCGACAAATGATTTGGATTACGAGCATTCGGGTTAACAATACTAGGCCGCCCATGTCTCGTATTGTTATCATTCTCAACTTGGTTTTTGATCTCTTGGCTGATTGTTTCCTCCATTGTTACTGCATTTGCTCTAACTGTTCTAACGGATTTTCCCCGGGATAAGGTTTTTGGAATACTTGCAAAACTCTGGTCTAAATGTGGGGAACTTACTATGGATCCATTGAAATCAGATGAATTTTCTAGCTCAATCAGAGGGTCTTCAGAGCCCCCTCTACTGTTTTCAGACAGAGATCTCATATTGTATTGTTGAGAATGCAATAACTTAGAGGAAATATCTCCGAGCGAAGACATTTTACGATGCGTTCTTGTCGTTGATGACAATGGCAGAGAGAAGGAACTAGTTTGTGGTGGTGGCTGAGACAGAGTAGAACGAAGAGGCCTAGGTTTTTTATGTGATTCAAATTGAGCTTCATCAATGGAGGGAGGTCTAAAATGGGAAGGGTGAAGAACAGCATTTCCAGCTCCTCTATCTTTCGTAACCTTTTTTCCAAATTTCTCACGCAATTGAAATGGGGACAATGATGAAATAACAGCTTCATCAAACTTCTCCTCTAAATTCGTACAACAATTATCACCAAATTCACTTATTCTTTCATAATCATTCTCATAGCCACTGGAAGAACTTTTAGAACTCAAGCAAGATTCATCACCACTATCCAATTCGACATCATCGGGTTCAGTAAGATTCGGCCTCAGATCGGGTTCGGTAAGATTCGACCTCAGACTCCTAACAGGCAAACCTAGAGGTTTATAATCAACAATGGCTTCTGATTCCATCCATTCACTTGAACTACGATTCGTTTCAGCAACTAAAACTACAGATCCATCCCGAGTATATCTCGATTTACAAGCATGACCGACATTATCAGTATCAATCAATTCATGAGAATTTTCATACCTTTTTTTGAGAATGGAGTAATGAAGTTTTTCCTGTTCGCGAGACGGAGCATTGAAATCTCCAAACTCATTCACGGATCCAGAATTCAGCTTAATGTACAAAACTTCACTTAATTTCCTCTCATCAGAAGCACTCAAATCGTCAACATTTTCAAAAATCGGAGCGACGTGAAACATCTTAGACAAATACGACTGTGAGTTTTCAAAATTGGAGAATCGAGGTTCGTCTACACTGACCTGGATGCTCCTTCTGCTAAAGAGACCATACGAAACAGCAATGCCGACGAACAAGAGGTGAAAAAGCTCCCAGAATTTGGAGAGCAAAGTCTGGTTGACGAAATCCGGCGCTTCGGAAGGGAAGAGAGGGAGGAGGAGGAGGAGAATGCAGAAGAAGAGAGATTTAGAGAGGAATTGTGCGCAGGACTTGCGTTGGTGAGACGAAGGAGTAGGTGGAAGCGGAGAGTGAGGAAGACGGGGTTCGGTCAAAGGGGAGGAAGCTGAAGAAGCCATTGATGAGGTTGGTGTAGAGCTTGGGAATTGGGATTTGGAGATTTGAGGGGAAAAAATGTGGTTGGTGAACAAAGGGAGAGTTGAAGACAAAGGTAAAGTTTTTATGCTGATTTCAATTATTCAAAGACTCATTATTGCAACCGTTTCGTTGAAAATTAACCAATTTATTTTTCTCCAATTTACATCTTCCATCAATTCTCCAATCTTTTTTTTTTTTTTTTTTTTTTTTTTTTTTTTTTTTTTTTTTTTTTTTTTTTTTTTTTTTTTTTTTGTCAGTTCTCTCCATTATATACTACTCCTAATTGCCCCGTAGGTGATGCAAATACAAATTGACTTGACTAATTGCCCGTTGTCTAAGTGATAGAGTTCGCTGCAAAAAAAATTGTCAGTCGATATCACAAGTCAACTAATAGTAACATGATCATGAAAATATTTCAACTATCTTAATGAGTTGAGTTAAAACACAAAATGAGTTAGTAGCATTTTCCTTTAAATTGATACAGAAGATAATGCTTTAATAGTTGAGCTATCATCGATCAGCAACCAACTTACCACTAAGTTGGTTGTAAAACCGAGTTTTTTCCTAGACCAAAGCATATCAGCTCGCCTTTTGTCATCTCATTCCCCCACTCTCTTATATTATAAAAAAATATATTTTTTTATTACCCATTAGATTGATTAAAAATTTAATAATTTTGATATTAACAAAATCATATAAATGTGTAATAAATGTCTCAATTAAAAGCAAAACTAATTACAAAACAAAAATAAGCCCATAAATCTACTACAAAACAAATCAAAACTACATAAATAAAGCTAATAAAAAAGGTATTAAGAAAAAAACATCTAACTTAAGCCAGGAAGTCAGATCAAAAGATTAACAAGCCACAACTTTTGTAAAAAAACTTGTATCCTCACATGTTCATATAAGAAAAAGTTAGCATTGGCGGATCAAATGATCAAGATCGAAGACTCAGAGCTGAAGGCCAAACTTTTCCCATCAGCCTTTTTATAGCTATAGAAACCTTTAAGCTGTTAGAATAGAAAATATTCAGACAACTATTTTCCACAATTACAATATGTCACACTTAAAAATAAAATAATTATAAAAAAAAATAACCATTATTTCACTTCATCAACTGTACTCACATCTCCACCACTCAGTCATCAGATTGATGTTTGTAGGAGCTGTTCTTCAGAGATTCCCATGCACAGATGTTGGCATTATAAAGTAATAATTCCTCCATGTTTGAGATTTACCACATCTGCAGACTGAACAACAATGATGTACCATATGAGCTAACACACTCAAATTTCTTGTTCGTTCGCAGCAAAAGAACCCGATAATATTTGGCTTAATTATCGTTCTAGCCCCTCTAATACGTTGTTAGTTCTGATGGTTCTAAAAGTTTCAATTTAATCCCTAAACTTTTAAATATTTGGCATTGTCAAAAGCCAGCAATGGTCATACTTGTCGTGGGTTCTTTCAAAACTACTAATAGAGGAAATGAACGGATATCAAAAGGAATCATGACACATGAAAATGGTCAAATATTTGATGAATGCAAAGATGCCAAGATTGTTCCAAATTGTAGGGTACTAAGTTGAAACATTTGAAACTATCTAGCACAGTTTGAAACAAAGCACAATCATATTTATAAGACAACTTCTCATTCAATTTGTGAAACACTTATGACTGTCATGGTTGAAATCACAGAAACATTTGAGAGGAACTCACCTTAAAACGTAAAAAGAAGATAATTTTTCTTCCACAGAATGCGTTGAAGTTCATAAAATAGAGCATATGAAACAATACATTAAAGAATAGCCTCAAATTGCAACAAGAAATAGAGTTCTGATGTCATAGAAATTTAATACCTTTCTATATTTATATTTGAGAAGGCTAAAAAAAATTAGAGAACCTCTCCAAATTTTGATATTTAAGAAAAAAAAAAAGAAAGAAAAAAAAAAATGAGAAATGAGAGAGGATTGGACCATAGAGAGATGAAATGGAGAAGGGAGATGATATGTGGAGTGAAGATAAAAGAGTTCTCATTCCTATACTATCTATAAACTTTAAAGATAAGGATAGTAACGCTACTTTTAAAAATTTGGAGGTATTTTTGAAAATATGATTTCTTTAGAAGCCAAGATATTAATAAAATTTTTGAAAGTTCAAGAAAAGATTTTACTTTTGAACTTCTTATGGAAATCTAAAGTTATTGTCGAAAGTTCGATAATTTAGCCAAAAATTTCGAAAACCATTTAAAAGCTTTTGAAAAAAAGCACTTTCAAGTTTAGTGTGATTAGGACATTTCTATTTCCTAAGTTTGTGAATCCGAAAGGACTAAAAACATCTTATCTTTCCAAAAATCATCACGAGCTCACCCTCTATGTCCATGATTCTAAATATTAAATATTGAATGGCTTGACAAAGTCTTACCATTCATTTTACCGTTTATTTCAAGAATTGGTGGAAATTTAAGTATTAGTCATTCTTTGCCTCTGTTAAAGAGCATAACTGAGAACAACTTAGCGTCTTGAATTTTCTGTTAGGAACATAAAAGTTCGATTTGTATGAAACTTTTAATTCAATTTTAATTTTTCTTGTGGGATAAAACCATAGAACTTAGACTATGGCTTCACTAAAGGAAAGTTATTTCAGAGAGAGAGAGAGAGAGTTCAAGAAAAACTTACGCTGTCGGTTGAACACCAGCTTGTCGCATCAACTGAGAATAAATATATTCATCAACCCTCTGCTTAGCCAATGCTACCTGTAAACCGTCCAAACAATTCAACATGAAGATCCTTCACCAGAAATTAATACAAATACAAACGAAGAATTGTATTAAAAAAACACTCTAGAAAGATATTATAAGGCTACTCTACTTCTGTCACCTATCTCCAAAAGTAGAGGTTAGTAAACTTCTGGCATCTCCTAAATCATATGTTTCGGTAATCAGTGACAAATATACGTCATTACTCGATACTCGAGTTTTAGACCTTAAATTTCGAAGGAATACGTTTTTGGTATAAATGATTTTGACTTAAACAACTTACAGGTAGATTCTTTTGATGTCCAATTCATTCCTTCTATTTGCATGTTTCCTGAGTGTAAGTTTTTAAAATTGCTACTTTCAGCTGTTAAATTTTTTACAGAAATAAAACCCAAACAACAAAAAAGCAAGGTGTATAGAAACATTAGTACGGATATCTATGTATGGAAGCTAATATATATATACATATATATATTATACGAACCTAAATTTATTTTTCTCATAAAAAATCATATACCCAGCCTACATTATATTAAAATAAAAATAATATAATTAGTATACCAAGTCTTAGAATCTAACAGTTTTAATAATTCAAGATCACCCTCCTTCCCATCGCACGAATTAGTGCTAGTTCATGAAACCTTAAAATAAGAGAAAAGGTCATGCCTGTTCAGCACTTCCACCAAATTGTAATTGCCTGTAATTTTGTTCACCTCTTCCACCACAAACCTGTAAAGAATAGTGTAAGGATATAAGTTTTAGGAACAGAATTTCAAGACCTTTCATATTGAAATTAAATCTGCATGGTTTGCTGACCTTGATTGTAGCGCCAGATTCATTTCTGATTCTTGATATGTTGAAGCCACCAATCCCAATCAAACCACCCACCAACGTCTCCGATATCAACATTTCAAAGGTTACATAATTAACTGCAAGATTGATTTTCCTAAAGATGATGTGGTTAGAAGAAAAAATATTAAAACTTCAGATACAAAAGACAGAATCAGAAAGAAATTATTTGATGCAGAAACCAGTGAATAACCTGAGGTTGGATCCATATATGACTGTGGCGGATGTACTGCATTATAATTATATGTTGGGCTAACAGAAATGACTTGCCGAGGAGGATTCACCCTGAAAATTAAAGCCCAAATCACTACCCCCAAAAAAAAAAAAAAACACCGAGATTTGACTTATCTCAAGAAACATCTACTGCAATCATCTTGTGACCAGAAAATGAGTGTAGTTTAAGTAACAGTTTCAGAAGTGCACATGAATCAGGTAAACTCTGAAACAATATTCAATACCAGACCTTAGCTGATTGCCTATCTCCTCAAGAGCCTTCAAAACTGCAGGAACATCCCCTGATATCTGAGTTCCAGACAAAACAAAGTCGATCGTCAGTGCCAGCTCTTAATAACATGATCTTGGATGCCTCAAAAAGTGAGATTAAATGAGTGTAATGTGAGATCAAGACATCAAGAAAAGTAACCTACCAATGTGAGAGAAGGGGAATGACAATTTCACAACATTTGCATAAAATTCAATAGATGATCTATTCGGTAAATAATTATGTGCACGTTTAAGAATTATTAAAATAATTGAAATTAAATGATTCATAGTATGTAAATTTAAAATTATTAACGAGAAATGTATCTTGAAGAATAAGGCTGGCAGAAAATTTCTAGCAACCTTTTCATTTCTACGACCAATTTCAATTCCCTAACTACTTCCAAGGGTCACCTTCCCAAGCAAGCAGCAATAGAATATCCAAACCTAGAAAGAAACAGTGTAACTTCATCTTCTAATGCCAATCTTAAAAATCCCAAATGGAACTGCTTCTCAAATCAACTATGGCAAGGGCTACAAGATCCGATTTTGGGTAGATAAGTGGATGTGAATGAACAGGCCCTTAAATCATCTTTTCCTCAAATTTCTAATGTTGCATGGTCTAAAGATAGTTTTATTGACCCAATGTTGTTCCTCCTCTTCCAATGATTGGATTGTTCCTTTAAGAAGGAATTGGACTGATGAAGAAACTTTAGAATGCATTGAGCTCCATGGCCTCCTTGAGCAAAGTGCCCATCGAATGTGAAGGGATCCAAATCGTGGATCCTTAACATTGACAAACAGTTTTCTCAACTCCTTAGCTCCTGAACTTTATGATCATCAAGCGACCGTTGATGTTACTCTGTTAAAAGCGATTTGGGGGGCTAGAGTACC